AATAATGCCATTTAATAGTAATAGTGTCTTTTTAAATAATATCTTTTTTTAATTAGTCTTTTAATTAGCATTAATAATAATAATAATAATAATAATAATAATAATAATATAATACAAATATAAGGAGGGTGTTATTTGAAAGAATAATTATGTATTGATTATTTCGACCTTTTTTCATTCATAGAAGAATAAAAAAAAATTTTTTATTTAATCATTACCCACATTTAATCGAAATCGATCTATATATCTAATTTATAATTTTGACCTAATTTTTTTAATTATTTATATAAAAATAAATTAATTTTTAAAATATCATAATTTAGTCGGTCAGTTCAATCAGTTTAAATGGAATGCAATGAATGCGGAGAACTTTTAAATAAATTTATTTATTCTAATTCTATACGAATTTAATAAATTTATAAATATACAAATCAATTTAATGTACAAATGAAAATATAAATATGGATTTTCGTAATAAAGATAATAATTTAATGCTTTCTAATTCTAATCTTTAAATAATCTACTACTGACTTTTTTTACTTTTCCAATAGTTGAATTATTACTATTATTGCTATTATTGCTATTATTACTACTAATACTACTTATACTGCTATTCCTTATTTTCCCCATTATCTTTTTCACTCCTTTTGTATTATTATTATTTTCATTATTTTTATCATTAGTGTTCTTTGAGATTTTAAGAAATTTATCTTTCTTTTTGATTTTATTTTTATTTTCACTTTCATTTTCAATCTCATTCTCACTTCTATTTTCACTTCTATTTTCATTTCTATCTTCACTTCTATTCTCATTTTTATTATTTATAATTAAATCACTCACTTTACTCTTTTTAGCAATACTCTTTTTAGAATTACTCTTTTTAGCATTGATTTCCAAATAACTACTTTTACTTGGAATAACCAAATCATTAGAACCACCACCACCAACAACAACACCACCATTATCACCTTTATATCCACTATCTGATCTCTTTCTTATGGTTGATTGTTCAGTTATACTATTTCTTTTTGAATGATGATTAATTTTATTATTTATATTATTATTATTATTATTACTGTTAATAATAATATCATTATTGTTATTACTTTTAATCTTATTTTTTTCAATAGAATTTCGTATACTATTGGCAAGTCCTAAATTATTATTATTCCCTTTCAAATTTATGTTAAATTTGTTATTATTATCAGTTGAATTTAGAGGATTTGAGGAATATAATGATGATGACCTTGCTTTAATATTATTATCATTGTTGTTGTTAATATTATTGGAAGATATTGGTGAAAGAATTAATTTTGTTGATTTTGTTGTTAATTTTGTTGAACTTGTTGGTTTTATTGTATTTATTGATTTTATTGATTTTGTTGAACTTGTAGGTTTTGTTACATTTGTTGGTTTTGGTGTTGGTGATTTGGATTTTGATCTTGGTGGAGTGAATTTTGTTGATTTTGTTGATTTTGGTGGTGTTGGTGATTTGGATTTTGATCTTGATGAAGGAGTTGATTTTGTTGGATTTCCAATTTTAGGTGCTGATCTATGAATGGATTTTGGTCGTTGTCCTTTTTCGGGACGAGTTGGCGTATGAGGCACATAATCTTGAATGTAAATTGGTGTTTCCGGCATTTTTTATGTTTTGCTTTTTTGCTTGTTAAATAGAGGAAGTGGAATATTTTCTCAAATAAATAGTTTTAACATCTTTTTATAATTTATTTTTTGATCGTCAAAATCGTCAAACTAATTCTCTCATGAAAAAATTTACAGAAAAAAACATGACATGTGCTATGGAAATATCCCAATTAAAACTTTTAATTTTTTTAATTTCGTAAAGATCAAGAATCTACGTTATTTTTCGGCTTTAAGAGTCATAATCTCGTGATTTTACTGTTTATGAAAATTTTGTATGAAATTTTTATATGAAATTATAAAAATAATAAAAATAAATATGGATATGGATCGTATAGAATATTAAAAACTAAATAAAGAAATCATTATTTATTATTAGAAATAAAATGGTAAATAATTTATCTAGTGCAACATTGATATGATATAAATTGAACTCGCGATGATCTTGAGTTATTTTGAATTTTTAAATGAAAAATGATTTACTGTAGATTTTAGAATTGATCACCATAAATATGATTATAATTAAAAATCTTTATTTTTTTTTTATTTTTTTTTTGTTTATTTGTTTTTTATTAAATACTTTTTGTTTTGTTTGTTAATAAGTGATTTTGTATTGTAGATATAAGATTATAACTTTCTTTTACTTTTAGTAGAGAAGGAAGAATTGAAAAGATTAGCTTTTAACAAGCTAACAAAGTTTATCTAACTTGTATACAGGTTGGTGCGACAAGTTGCTTCTGAATATATTTATCATAGCTAAATAATATTAGACTTGCAACTAAAGGAGAATAATTAGTTTAGTTTTAGATAGTATTTGTATTATTATTAATTAAATAAATAAAGTTCTTGGTATTTAAGCACTAGCAAAACTATTAAAGCTTTAAAAAAAAAAAAAAAAAATTATATATATATATATATAAAATAAAGGTGAGTATTATAATGCAGTTAACCTTTACAGCCAATATCATGTGACTTAATGATCCAAATCGAACGATTTTAATACCATTCGATTTGTCTTATCGATACGAATCAAATGGTACCAAAATTGTTCGTTTCTGGCCACTAGATCACGAGATATCACAAATTTCAAAAAAATCAATAAATTATTGTATATGGACCAATTATGACACACACATAATATCTTGTGAACTAGTGATCAGAATCGAATGATTTTGGTACCATTCGATTCGTCTCAATGAGACAAGGCAAATGGTACAAAAATCGTTCGATTTCTTCACTATGTCAAAAGGTACAAATAATTAAAGATTAAAATTTTAAAAGACTAAAAAAAAATATCTTATTTTATTTAAACATCAATATTTCATGGCACAGTAATCAGAATTAGATAATTTTACTGCCATTCGATTCATCTCATTGAGACAAATCGAATGGTAGTAAAATCAACCAATTCTGATCACTGCGTCATAAGATATCACATGTGCATCATAATTGATGCTGCGTCATAATACTCCCTTTTACCTTATATATATATTTTTTGGTATTAAGATGACCTCTTTGGCCAAGGACTTTTTATTAAGTAGAAACGACATTATACAATTATAACAAAGGTACATTAAGCTATATGTGCATCTTTTGAGTGCCTATTTAAGTAGTCCGCCCGAAGGTTCTACACTATCTGCTGTACCTGTACCCCAACTAGAGGGTATCTATTTAAACCCTCTAGTTACAACCATTAGTGGCTTCTACCTAACCAAGACATAACTTACTATTCAGAAATAGATTTTGAAATATCTATAGATTTTGCACCCACTTTAGGACTTACTAAACTCTATATTGAGTCTAGACTATCTATGAGGTAAACCTAACAGAGTAGTCTATGTCTTACACATGTTTTTACCTACATGTTCAGTAATTTCTTCCTAACTAGTACCTGTTATACTGCTGCCACCGGGTTCGTATCTCAAGCCAACTTTTGGGGTGCTGTCATAACCTAATCCATATCTCAAGTACAACCTTCCTAATTAGTTTTTCATTACGTGTCATAGCTGATGCTTGAAATGGCTAATGATAGTAATCATGTAATAAACAATGATCATCTGCATTTGTCAATTTTGATTATGTAATATATCTACTATAGTCAAATGGGGTGCGACATGGTATCGTCAACTGGGGTGCGACATAGTATCATCAACTGGGGTGCAACATGGTATAGTCAAATAAGGTGCATCATGACTTCATATATTATTGGTTAACCATAATGTTGGTTACTGATTTTTAAAAAAGATAAGTAGTCTTCGTGGTTCTTTTAGTTTTCATGAACTAAAAGAATCATGAAGACTACCGATCTTTTGTTTTCTAAAAGATTAAAAGTATGAATTTGTATTAGCTTCGTGGCCCTTTTAGTTTTCATCTTGAACTATACAGAAAACCAAGAAACTGTAAAAAAAAGATTGATAATTTCACTCATAGTTTTTTTAGTTTTCTTTATTGTAATATTGAATTTATTGCAGGAACCTGAATGCGCTAAAATTAAACAAAAAAAAGTTAGTAATGGATCATTAGTTTCATAGCTCTTTAGTTTTCTTTATTGTGATCTTATTTGCAGAGATTCTGTAACCGAGTTTTTTTTTAAAAAAAAAATAAAAAAGTGTTAGCAAATTGTTATTAATTTCATGGCTTTTTTAGTTTTTCTCATTGTAATTTTACTGAAACTTGTTACAGGAACCTAAATGCACTAAGATTCTGTGTCCAAGTCTTTTTTTTTAAAAAAAAAAAGGTAGTAATTTGTTACTAGTTTCGTGGTTCTTTTAGTTTTCACATTGTGGTCTTATTTTTGAGCTTATTACAGGAAGCTAAATGCACCGAGATTCTGTGCTCAAGTCTTTTTTTTTTAATAAAAGGTTAGTAGTTTGTTACTAGTCTCGTTGTTTTTTAGTTTTCGTTATTGTATTATAGTTTGAACTTTATTATAGGAACCTTAATGCGTATAGAACCTGTTCCTCAAGGATTGTACCAAAGTTTTTTTTAAAAAAACAAGGTTGGTAATTTGTTACTGCTTCATGGTTCTTTCATAGTGATTTTATTTGAACTTATTACAGAAACCTAAATACGTTGAGATTCTGAGTCCAAGATTTTTTTTTTTTTTTTAAAAAAAAGGTAGTAATTTGTTATTAGTTTTGTGGTTCTTTTAGTTTTCACATTGTGGTCTTACTTTTGAGCTTATTACAGGAAGCTGAATGTGCTGAGATTCTGTGCTCAAGTCTTTTTTTTTTAATAAAAGGTTAGTAGTTTGTTACTAGTCTCATAGTTTTTTAGTTTTCATTATTGTATTATAGGTTGAACTTTATTACAGAAACCTTAATGCGTGTGGAACCTGTTCCTCAAGGATTGTACCTAAGTTTTTTTCTTAAAAAACAAGATTGGTAATTTGTTACTGCTTCGTGGTTCTTTCATGGTGATCTTATTTGAACTTATTACAGGAACCTAAATGCGTTGAGATTCTGAGCCTCAAGATTTTATTTTTTTTTAAAAAAGGTAGTAATTTGTTACTAGTTTCGTAATTCTTTTAATTTTCATATTGTGGTCTTACTTTTGAGCTTCCAAGTCTTTTTTTTAACAAAAAGTTAGTAGTTTGTTACTAGTCTCATAGTTTTTTAGTTTTAGTTATTGTATTATAGTTTGACTTTATTACAGGAACCTTAATGCGTATGGAACCTATGCCCCAAGGATTGTACCCAAGTTTTTTTTTAAAAAAACAAGGTTGGTAATTTGTTACTGGCTCCATGGTAATCTTATTTGAACTTATTACAGGAACCTAAATGCGTCGAGATTCTGAGCCCATGATTTTTTTTTTTAAAAAAAATAAAAACTTGTACTAGTTTCATGGTTCTTTAGTTTTCTCATTGTGATCTTAATTGAGCTTATTATATCTAAATATGCCGATATTCTGTATTCAAGACTTTTTTTTTAAAATAAAAAGGTTAGTAATTTGCTATTAGATTCGTGTTTTTTTTTAGTTCTTTATTGTGATTTTGCTTGGATAATTACAGGAACCTAAACATGCATAAATTGTGTTCCAAGTTTTTTTTTTTAAAAAAAACAAGGTTAGTAATTTGTTACTAGCTTCGTAATTTTTTTAGTTTTCTCATAGTGATCTTATTTGAACTTATTACAGAAACCTGAATGCATCGAAATTCTCAGCCCAAGATTTTTTTTTTAAGACAAAAAAGTTGGTGAAAATTTGTTACTAGTTTCACTATTTTTGTGGTTCTTTGGTTTCTCATTGTGATTTACTTGAGCTTATTATAGCCTAAATGTGCGCTCAAGTTTTTTTTTTAAAAAAAAAAGGTTGGTAGTTTGCTATTAGATTCATGGTTTTTTTAGTTTTCTTGTGATCTTACTTGAATTTATTACAGGAACCTAAATATGCCGAGATTTTGTGCTCAAATTTTTTTTTTTTCAAAAACAAAAAAAAAGGTTTGTAATTTGCTATTAGATTCGTGATTCTTTTAGTTTTCTTATAATCTTATTTAAACTTATTACAGGAACCTAAATATGCTGAAATTCTGTACCCAAATCACTTTTTAAACAAAAAGGAAGGTTAGTAGTTTGTTATTAGTCTTGTGGTTCTTTTACTTTCATTATTGTATTATAACTTGAACATGTGGCCCCAAGTTTTTTTTTTAAAAAAAAAAGGTGAACTTATTAGATTCATGGTTTTTTTAGTTTTATTGTGATCTTGCTTGAACTTACTGTGTTACAGAAACCTGAGATTCACCTTGATCTTTTTTTTTTTAAAAAAAAGTTTAGTAATTTGTTACTAGCATTGTGGTTTAATTTTCTCCATGATCTTACTTGAACTTATAATGGGAACCTTGATACGCCAAGATTCGTTTTCGATCTTTTTTTTTCAAAAAAAAAAGAGGCTAGTAATTTTTTACTAGATTTGTGGTTCTTTTAGTTTTCTCATTTTGATCTTATTTGAACTAATTATAGGAACTTGAATGAGCCAGGATTCTGAGTCAAAAAAAGATTGGGTCAATTTAAAGGAGTTAATCTATAGTTTCGTGATTCTTTTAAATCCATAGGACAAAAATAAAAGAAAACTTGAATATGCAATGCATGATTCTTACTGTAGTAGCCTGCTGAGTTTATAAGCATATCGTGTTTAGATTTGATTAGCCAACTTTAATGATCACCGTTACGTGAATTATTAAATGTTTAAGAGCAAAAGGGGCAATTGAATTCATTTTTTAAAAAAAATTCAATATATTAGCCCTAAAATTTCAGGTCAGAAAATATTCAATTTGACATAGCTTTTTTAATTTCTTATTGGTATTTATAACTTGTACCAAAAATTTTACTGATTTATATGCAGAATTTTTATTTTAATAAAAAGCATTTGATATTTTATAAAATTTTGTTTGAAAAAATTTACATTTAAAATAAAAGAAAGTTACATTTAAATTTTGTTTAAAAAAAATTTAAAATTGTTTAAAAAAAAAAAAAAAAATTTTCTTTTTTTTAAAAAAAAAATCACGACTTTACAACTTTGACCCATTTAATTGGAATGGGTGTTTCCTTTCCGTCTATCTCAACAATCACCGTGTGATTATTTGAGGTTAGTCTTTTGAATATGCCTTGTTGCGAATATGTTGGCTATAATTTTTTCTTTTGGATTTGAGGGTTGGTATCATGGTCCAATGCAATGTTAACTACAGTTCCGGTTTCAATTATATTATTTGGTGTTTTTTTCTATGAATGCTTCCTTGTTGACACATTTTTTTGTAATATTTTCCTAGCATTGCATTTACTGACTAAAAAAAAAAAAAAATGGTCAAAATTTTACAATTAAGCTTTACTGCTTACTTTAACCCTAACTTCATAAATTTTTGATACTCGTAACACATGTTGTTTTACGTTATCAAGATTATCAGAATTATATGTTTCCGAAGCATTTGCTTCACCCACTTCATCATCCTGATCATTCTCGGGTGCTTTGTCATTATCATTATCGGGTGCTTTGTCGTTATCATTATCGGGTGCTTCGTTGTTATCACTTCGTAAACATTTATTTCATTTTCCTAATCATTATCTGATATTTTATAAGTATTCACTTCATTATTCGGATCTGGTATTTCATAGACACAATGCATCTTCCAACCAAACATAACTTCATGAGGTGTATATTTATGTGCAGTATGTACAGTTGAATTGTAAGACATAACAAAGGCATCTAATACATCGGTTCTTTCCTTTTTTTTGAAGTTGATTATCACGATCCCACAGCAATTTTGTGAAACCTCAACCAATTGTTTGGTTAAGTCGTTCTACCTGTCCTTGGAACTGGGGATGGTGAGGGCGGCCATGCTTAATTTTGATATTGAGAATTTCACATACTTGCTTAACTATCCCTTCAAACTTCTTTCCATTGTCACTTTGTAAAACTAATAGTGGGCTGAGAATTCTAAAGACGTCTTTAACTAAATGTATAGCGACTGTATCTGCTTCTTTGTTTTTCATAGGAATAGCAATGAGGTATTTTGTAAATGTACAAACACATATAAGTAACCATGCAAACCCGTAATTCACATTTTTAAAATCATAAAAATCTATTAAATCAATTTGAATATGCCGCTATGGTGCCACAGATGTTAGGAATGGCAAAGTCTTTAAGTCCAGGACTTTAGGACCTGGTTTTGGGACCTGGTCTTTAAAGACTAGGTCCCAATTTTAGGACCTAGATCTATAGATCCACAATAGGTCCTAATATAAAATATATTAATAAAATAGTAAACAAAGAATTTTAATTAGTTAGAAAGTATTAGAACTAAGTTCAAGAACTTAATCCTATTGGTTGAGCATAAGTTCTAGGACTTATTATATGAGGACCTGGTCCTTAGTTCCGTGCAATAGGACTTACAGGTCCTAGAACCAAGACCGGACCTGGACTGACTTTACCATCTCTAATAGACGTAACTGATTTCATATTGGTCCGTTCTTTAATAGAAAAATTAATAGTGCAAACCGGACATTCGTTAATGTAAGCCTGTACCTCAGTTTGCATAATACCAATATGTTTTTCAGTAAGGGCAGAAAAAGTTTTATGATAATTTCTATGATTTGATTGGTCATGAAAGTTTTTTAGCAATAACACATACAACTCTACATCATATTTCGGAATAATACACCATTTATCCGATACTATTTCACTATCTTTAAAAGTAGCAGAAAGGTAAAGAATCTCGTTTTCGTCTAATTCAAATTTTTTATAACAATTCTCAAATTTACATTTTGCAACAGGACTATATTCTTGTATTCAGTTGGTGTTTCGGGAAGTTTTGGGGTTGTCGGCATAAACACAGAATTAAAGTTAGGAAAAAATATTGGAGACACCATTTATACTATGATAACAAATACACCAACCATGTTAGAGTATGGGAAAACACGTGATGCGTGTTAGGGTTAGCAACAACACGTGACACATGTTGGGTTAGGCTGCATGCGTAGGGTTAAGTTAGAGTTAGAGCTACTACTATGCGTATAAGAGTTGCAAATAATATTGATGCTTCTACCCTGTGGCACATTATTTAACACATTCGAATTTTTAGCAATTAAACTAACCTTTTTTTTTTAAAAAAAAAAAAAAATTACAAAACTCAGAATCTCAATACATTCGTGTTCCTGTAATACAGTAATAGGTTCAAATAAGGTCACCACAAAAAAACTAAAAGAACTACGAAATAGTAACAAATTAATGACCTTTTTTTTTCTGAAAAAAAAACTTAGAATATAATCTTTGTGTATTCAGATTCCTGTAATAAGTTCAAGTAAGATCACAATGAGAAAACTAAAAGAACCACGAAACTAATATGATTTACTAACCTTTTTTTAAAAAAATATATATCTTGGAGCGCAGAATCTATGCATATTCAGCTCCTGTAATAAGTTTTAGCAAGATTACAATAAGAAAATAAAAAAACTATAAACCCAGTAAAGTTACTAACCTTATTTTTTTTTTTGAAAAAAAAAGAGCGGACATGAATCTCTGTACATTTAGATTCCTGTAATACAGTAAATAAGTCATTATAAAAAACTAAAGGAACAATGAATCTAATAGCAAGCTATTAACCTTTTATTTTGTTCTTTGAAAAAACTTGAAGCACAGATTCTATATGCATTCAGGTTTCTGTAATAAGTTCAAATTATAATACAATAATGAAAACTAAAAGAACTATGAGACTAGTAACAAATTACTAACTTTGATTTTTGTTAAAAAAAAAAAAAAGGCTTGAGTACAGAATCTCTGCATTTAGGTTCCAGTAATAAGATCAAGTAAGATCACAAAGGAAAAACTAAAAGATCCACTAAACTAGTAACAAATTACTAACCTTTTTTTTTAAAAAAAAAAAATTTATGAGCTCAGAATCTCGATGCATTCAGGTTTCTGAAATAGATTCAAATAAGGTCACCACAAGAAAACTAAAATGAAATAGTAACAAATTAATGACCTTTTTTTTTTTTTTGAGAAAAAAAAAACTTGGAACAGAATCTTCACGTATTTAGGTTTCTGTAATAAGTTCAAGTAAGATTACAATGAAAAAACTAAAAGAACCACGAAACTAATACAATTTACTAGCCTTTTTTTTTTAAAAAAAAAAAAAAAAAATCTTGGGGCACAAAATCTATACATATTCAGGTTCCTGTAATAAGCTTAAGTAAGATCACAATGAGAAAAATAAAAAAACTACAAAACTAGTAAAAGTTACTAACCTTATTTCTTTTTTTGAAAAAAAAAGAGCAGGCACATTCAGGTTCCTATAATATAGTAAATAAGTCACAATAAGAAACTAAAAGAACAATGAATCTAATAACAAGCTATCTTGTTCTTAAAAAAAATCTTGAAGCACATATTCAGGTTCCTGTAAAAAGTTCAAATTATTATGCAATAAAGAAAACTAAAAGAACCATAAGACTAGCAACAAAATATTAACCTTTCTTTTTGTTTAAAAAAAAAGACTTGGGAACGGAATCTCTGTGTATTCAGGTTCTTGTAATAAGATACAATGGGAAAACTAAAAAATCTACTAAACTAGTAAGCCTTTTTTTTAAAAGAAAAAAATTATAAGGCTCAAAATCTCGGCGCATTCAGGTTTCTATAATAAGTTCAAATAAGATCACTATAAAAACTAAAAGAACGAAAATTAGTAACAAATTAGTAACCTTTTTTTTTTTGAAAAAAAAACTTAGCACAGAATCCTTATATATTCAGATTCCTGTAATAAGTTCAAGTAAGATTACAAATGAGAAAACTAAAAGAATTACGAAATGAGTAACAAATTACTAACCTTTTTTTTTTTTAAAAAAAAAAAAAACTTAGGCACAAAATCTATACATATTTAAATTCCTATAATAAGTTAAGTAAGGTCACAATGAGAAAATTAAACCAACCATGAAACTAATAACAAATTACTAACTTTTTTTTTTTGAAAAAAAACATGGCACAGAATCTTAGCATATCCAGGCTTCTAAAATAAGTTCAAATAAGATCATAATAAAGAAAACTAAAGAACCACAAATCTAATAACTCATTACTAACCTTTTTTTTTTGGGCTAAAAAAAAAAAAAAAAAACTTAGGCATAGAATTTTGGCACATTCGGGCTCCTATAATGGCTTCAAGTTAGAACACAAGAAAACTAACAAAAATCAAGGAACTAAGTGAATTACCAACTTTTTTTTCCTTAAAAAAACTTGAAACAGAATTTCAATGCATTCAGGTTCTGTAGTAAGTTCAAGGTGAATTACAATAAGAAAACTAAAAGAACCACAAAACCAGTAACAAATTACTATCTTTTTTTTGAAAAAAACATTGCCGCATTCACTTTTCTGGAATACAGTAATTTCAATTAAGATCACAATAAAGAAACTAAAAGAACCATAAATCTGATAACAAGTTACTAGCCTTTTTTTTTGTTTGGTTTTAGAAAAAAAAAACATGAAGTACATATTCTCTACACAATCAGTTCTTACAATAAGTTCAAGTTATAATACAATAACGAAAACTAAAAGAACCATGAAACTAATAACAAATTACTAACCTTTCTTTTTTTTTGGAAAAAAACCCCAACACAGAATCTGCGTATTCAGTCAGGTCCTGTAATAAGTTCAAATAGAGAAAACAAAAATAGCCATGAATCTAATAGCAAGTCCCTGCAATAAGTTCAAGATTACAATAAAGAAGTTGAATTACAAACTAATAACAAATTACTGACTTCTTCTATAATACTGTAATAAGTTTAAGTAAGATCACAGTATGAAAAATAGAACCACAAAAATAATAGTAAATTACTACTAACTTTCTTTAAACTCAGTAATGGCGTATTGGATTCCCTGTAATAAATCTAAATAAGTACACAAATATAGAGAAATATAAAAATGAATACTAATAGCAAAACTACTATTTTGTTTTTTTTCTCTTAGAGCTTGGTACTTGTGTCACATACTTGATCTCTGTGATTTAGATTTAAAAAAAAACTACGAATTAATAGCTACTAACGTGAAGTACTAGAATTTCGAATTTAAGAAATGCAGTCAGTAAATTACCAACCTTTAAGGTTTGTAAAACTAAAAGAACTACATAGGCTCCTAATCTTTTCAGAAGTGAGTACTATAAAAAAAACTAGCAAACCCAGTAATTCTTTTAGATTATTATAAAGATTTGTAAAACTAAAATAAGCCACATAGGCTTAGAAGTAGGTACGTACTATAAAGCAATCTTGGCTCACACCTCATTTGACTATACCGTGTCACACCCCAGTTAACGATACTATGTCACATCCCAGTTGACGATACCATATCACACCCCATTTAACTATAGTAGATATATTATGTAATCAAAATTGACAAATGCAAATGATCATTGTTTATCACATGATTACCATCATCAGCCATTTCAAGCATCAGCCGCGACATTACATACTCCTGCCTTTATAAAGTTCACAACAACTCCAGTACCTGCATTCTAGCTATCTTCTTACTCGAATTCTTTATTGGTTCCTCCTTTACTTCTAGCCGGCAACTCAGATGGGTTAGTCTGCTTAGGCTTTAGGTGTCTGAAGGAC